ACACACTAGCATCAGGATTGACTGAATCACACAAAGATGGGCAAATCTCAGGAAGCTCTCTGGGCCTATTTAACCCTAAAATCAGTTCTTTGTGTAATGTGAGGGGAAAAAAACCCAGAAAAATGCCCGACAATCATGCTTATACATTTTGAATATATGACTTTATTTCTGTAGGCTTATAGTCTACACCAGTATGCGACTGATACGATCAGTGAATGAATTTAAAAGTGAAGGCATTTAAAAGACTGTGAAATGGGATGGATAAAAATGTTGTCTGTACATCACGCACAATATAGTAGAATGTTAGGTTAGGTTAAAGGTAGTGTGTAATATTTAGGAGGATCTATTGACAGAAATGCAATATAATATGTTTTCAAAGGTGTATAAAGACCTTACATAATGAACCATTATGTTTTTATTACGTTAAAATGAGCCATTTCTATCTACATATTCCAAATTGTACCCTTACATCAGTGGTTGTCAGTACCCTTACATAACTTAAATGTCTCCAAAACACGCCTCTTCAGTGAGCATCCATTATAAAACACTCACTGTACATTAATTTTGACAACTACGTGAATATATTGCACTGTGCTCAAGCAGAAATTATGTTATAGTGAACAGTGCACCAAGAGCGCACATACATGGTTAGGGTTAGGGTTAACCCTAACTCAGAACATGCACAAGAGAGGTGGTGCTGTTATTTTTTAAATTGTTGTAACATATTCTTCATAAAATTAGTAAATTGAATATACTTTAATGTTATGCAAATACTTTAATTTGCATTGAAGCTAAGACTATAGAATACCCAAGACGTGTCACTTGTATAGTTTCTTATGGGAAAAAATGCAATGCTCAATATGGCGGCTCTATCATCTGTTTTATGTTTCCCCATTCAAAGACATAGAAGCTGCAACTCTGTCATTTTTAATTCAAAATAAAATGTTAATTTATTAATAATATGCATTTCTGATAATCACTGTTTGCTATGGTCATGCGGGTTTGTTTGCTCATGGCCACAAGAAAAGGAAGCTGTTCCCTCAACATAAGAAGTCATGACTATGACATAAGGATGCCTTTACCTTGACAAAATGATCTTGTGGCCGCAAGTTTATATGTCATGGCCGCAATATGCTATGACATTCCCATGAATTAATATTTTGTGGTCACAACATATTATTAAATTCCTACAAGTTAATATGTCATGGCCACGACAAAACTTAGCCAAGCACCGAAGGTCATGGTAATTTCTTGCTCTCTGTCGGCAAATGATGGCAGATATCCGGGAGAGCAGGAGGGAAAGATTTGAACGGAGAGATACGGAGTGCAGCGTTTTGGATTGCATAAAATAATAAAAGAAACAAACAAAAACATGGCGAAGGAGGAGTACAGAGCACAAGAGGTGATTGGGATGATTTTTGATGAGACTTGGGAGGAGGCAGAGCAAGACTTTTTCGCATGTGGTGTGTTCATCTGTATAATGTGTCTGTGCCTGTAAATGTATGCGTGCATATGTATGCATGCATGTGTATATGTGTGCGTGCATGAACAAAAAATCCTCCTGAATGAAAACTGTGCAACCCCGTGTCACAAAAAGAATTATAAATGTGTAATATAGTTGAATTTACAAGTATGAAGTGTTGGATTCAATTAATTCAATCATCATTTTTCTTTTTTTTCTAAATAAAAATCAGAAAATGTATTCCTTTTTTGTCTATTTAACTTCTGTTTACAAACTCACCACACACATTATTGGCCATGACTAATTTTTTGAAAACTGCTAGCAATTTGTTAAACATGCTAGAAACATGCTAGCATCATGCTAGTAACATGTTAATCATACTAGAATCATGCTAGTAACATGTTAATCATGTTAGCAACATGCTAGTAACTTGCTTATCATGCTAGAAACATGATAGCAATTTGTTAAAAATGCTAGAAACATGCTAGCATCATGCTAGTAACATTCAAGTAACTTGCTAATCATGTTAACATGTTAGTAACATGCTAATCATGCTAGTAACATGCTAATTATGCTAGAAACATGCTAGTAACTTGCTAATCATGCTAACAAAATGGTAACACCATGCTAGCAACATGCTAATCATGTTAACAACATGCTAGTAACATGTTAATCATGTTAGAAACATGCTAGTAACTTGCTAATCATGGTAACAAAATGCTAACACCATGCTAGTAACATGCTAATCATGCTAGAAAAATGCTAACCATGCTAGCAACATGCTAACCATGTTAGAAACATGCTAATCATGCTAGCAACATGCTAGTAACATGTTAATTGTGCTAGCAACATGCTAATTATGCTAGAAACATGCTAATCATGCTAGCAAACATGCTAGTAACATGTTAATCATGCTAGCAACATGCTAGTAACATGTTAATTGTGCTAGCAACATGCTAATTATGCTAGAAACATGCTAATCATGCTAGCAAACATGCTAGTAACATGTTAATCATGCTAGCAACATGCTAGTAACATGTTAATTGTGCTAGCAACATGCTAATTATGCTAGAAACATGCTAATCATGCTAGTAACATGCTAATCAAGCTAAAAACATGTTAGCAGCATGTTAGCAACCACCCCAGGTACCATATCAATGTGTTTTATACCTCTGTTTTTCGGATAGACTGCATTGCCTTGAAAACATTCAAAATTTAATCTTTAAAACTATTTTAACTTTCAAACTACTTCAAACTGAAAACTTTCAGACTGCAAGCTTTTAAAACGTTTTCAAACTTTCTAGCTAGGCTTTTTCAAGCCAACTTAAAGTTTGTCTAGAAACTTTTCACTATAGAATAACTTTTCTAGTTATTATTATTATTTTACTTGGACATGTACAAATGTTTAAAGGTACAAAACTATCACTTTGGTGGCATCCTAAGGTACAAAATATAAATCGAATATCTATGTACCTTATTTACTCCTAAATGGTACATATTAGTACCTTAAGTGTACATATTAGTAATATTAGTTTTTAAATGGTATTGCCCCAATGACAGTTTTGTACCTTTTTTTTCTGAGATTGTAACAGCTTCCTTTAACTGCATCTAAACTCACAATATAGCACAGCCTTTCATAGTTTATTGCTTAAACGAACAACCAGCAGTTTCTTAGTGAAGGAGAGAGAGCACATGGAAGACAATCAGAGCATTTGACAGCCCCACAGATCTCATTCAGCTTAATTTGTCAGTGTTAACTGAGAGGTGTAGAAATATCTGTCAGACTCTGTCTGTATTAACCTCTGTCAATAACCTCTGTAAGCTGCAGTTAAATGTCATTAGCCATGCCACAAACAAAGCAAAAGCAATGTGGCTAATGGCAAGGTCTTTGCCTTCTCCAACAGTCTGTTCTCCGCTCAATAAATGGATCAGGGTGGGGACAGTTAGATGTCCATCACAGGTTTACGTCACTAATCTGTGATTTTGACTATATTTGTCATATTTGATCCACTTTTCTTGGTGGCTGCACATTGGACACCTCCATCTCCACTTGCAAGAGTTTATGGGAGCGTTAAGAGGGGAATACACAGATCAAGGGCCGCATGTGGGTGTGCAGTTTGAGTTTGCTTTGTTGCTAAGTGAAGCATGTTATACAACAAGGTGAGGGAGAGGAAGTCACAACATTAGAGGTGTTTCATATTTGATGTTGCCTGCAGTTAGCTGTCCTCTAAATATGGCTTTAATGTAGCACTGACAACCTGTGAGTACATCGATGTGGTTCCAGGTGTGAAAATCCCATTAATTTTCTCAACAGAAACGGAATTTAAGCAATAACATATAGACTTTTAAAGACCTTGAGTTCTGATGTTGTTAAACAACAATATATGCTTCTATGAATTCATTTCAACTTAATTCATAGAATTAATGTACATCAGTGGTTCCCAACCATGTTCCTAATGGATATCTCAAAAGGATATGTATATGTCTGCAATGCAAGATTTTATTACAATTTTTTTTTTTTAATGTAATAACAATTTTTTTTTTTTTTCAAATGTAATAACTTGCCATTTCGGTTTGTTTCTCACCAAACCTTACAGTATACCTTCAGAATGCTTGGAATACATGCCATGAGATACATAGGATTGTTTTACAACAGACTTGCATCTGCTTAAAAAAAAAGTGAAAGTCACTATTCTCTGCTATTAAATGGGCAAGTGAGAGCAGGAAATTATGGAGCTGGAGCATAATCTGCAGTGGTTTACACCACATCAAGCATAAACAAGGTTTTGCATATTTGAGTTTGCTTGGGGTTGTCTGGTAAGCATAAGAAGCTGTAATAGTGCATTTCTCACATAAAACTCTCCTCTTTTGTCTGTTTAGGCTGAGTCAGGTCCTCGCGGAGTCAGCCGGGACAGGTTAAGTTCAGAGGCTTCTTCTACACAAGAGAAAGGTGGTCCCACTGTACCGGCCCAACTAATTGGAAACCCTTACGCATTTGGCTTGACACCCGTGTCAGTGATGCAGGACTCGCGCTTTCAGCCTCTTAAGTGAGTATTACTGACGAACTGTGGGAAATTGACTTCACTGCTAAGTAGGGCTGCACAATTAATCGAATGCGATTGTCATGCGCATTTTGTTAAAAAATCCGGTTCTGTAATCAGGAAATCATCATCACGTGCTTTCAGATGGAGCAGAATTTACTACACATAGCCGTAGTTCACTGACAAGTTACGCAAAAAAATGACGATTTTATTGCACGATTCTGAAATCGAAGAAATCATTCGCGCTAATGACAGCTGTTTGCATAGCTTCTCAGTGAACTACGGCTCTGTGAAGTAAATGCTGCTCCATTTGAAAGCATGTGAAAATACCACATTTAATAACATATTTTTACTCCAAACTCACTTCATAACGTCAGTC